TCGTTCGTGTCTCGTCGGATCACCTTGTTTGACGCACGCATGATTGAAGCTTTATGAATAGATGAATCACAATCTGTTCTCCAATGCCTAACTGGGTTTCTTTGATTTAAAATAGCGATGCCAAAGTGCAAAACAACTTCTGCTAAGCATTTTATTTTATTTTGTAAAGTAATATACTCGCGGGTTAGGTTGGAATAAATGTAAGGTGCAGAATTACTTGATGTCGTGAGCTGTTATCGGAATTATTTTGCAATGCCTCCTACGAAATCAGATTAGGAAAAACGGAGTTGGATAGGAGTTGATGAAATGCAGAAGATCATGATCCACACATTCTGGACAATCTAGTGGGATCTGTCTCCGACACAATCACTTGTTTACTCATGCCTGAAAAGAAATATTGCGAAGGGAGTGAAAAATACTACCGGGTAACCGTAGGATTTTTAAAATTTACACAATATTGTGTGATGAACAGCAGACGGGATAAACCGCATAGTCACGAGGATCTGATGTTCACTCACTGGGAACCGGTAACCTAAGCTACGGGACTTCGAGTAGAGAACCAAATAAAGCCCCACAATCATAGGCGTCGTTTGGACCCGGTCGACACGGAAGCTCGTGTTTGGTTACTGTGATCCATCTTGCTCTATTCCATACTTTCCGTCCGCCATTTTGTATGTTGCTACATCGAAAAACAAAATGGCTATTCTCTCTGTGTTTGTGTGAGAGAGGGAGGTGGAGGTGAATTGCCCTGGCTACATTGGTAGACTATTGTTTGTTTCGCTGCCCTGTCACTCTGCTCTGCATCACGCATTCGGATTCGCCCAATTCATCTCTTCTCTATTTCAAGGATACTGTTAACTGGATACATTTTCAAGTTTTCCTCTTTCATGATTTCTCATACGCATACTATACTATTTGGGATTGAGGTCGGGGTGACGTGATCTAGGCAATCGCTTTTGGTTATTTTCGACATATTCTGGGCGGGGTTACGAAAACAAACTGACCGTAATTGGCCATTTGTTATG